GAGGGCTATAATACAGAATTCTAATTAAAGGCAAATTGCAGAGAACAAATGCAGCAACGACGAACTTCATGATGTTCACGAATTAATGAAAAGGGAAGAGACTGGTTAAAATTAATGGCTCCAACTTACTGTCTACTTTTGTGACAGAAATACAGTTGAGCACATACCGTATATCGAGTAGATGAAAAATGGGTTTATCGACATAAACCATCGATGAGAAATCTTTAGATATTTTGCGATAGAGTAGCACAATTTGGTGTACACGTTTAACAATAAAACGCTGGATTAGTTGTTACGCGATTCACTTTTATTTGAAAAGCATCATCATAAAAGTGAAAGCGACTTCACCAGTGTTTTATTGTCAAAGTTGTATCGACAAATAACAGTAGTATTTAATTGCATGATGAGCTTTACCATGTAGAAGCACATGTTCGACATAAGCTAGCTCATTTTAGAGAAAAGTTAACTACGAATATATGTAAAAAGGAATTAAATAGATCAATCCATTCAAATAGGCCATACAATTAGTCCCCAGCCCCCACATTTAAAAAGCAATAGCAACCTAGCTACAAGTTTGTCAGGGAAAATATACGGTGAAATATATGTGTGAGAAATATCTAATAGGTGCAAATAATTACCGAGCTTAGAAGCGAATAAATTAATTAACTCCAAAATGCTGGGACAACCCCACAATTTTTTTCTGAAAATAAGCTGGACCATCTAAACATTCTAAACTGTCAAAAAAGTTTAAGCGATTTTTTGATTTCGTTTTTTGCCCGTAGCTCCATCGCGACTAGTTCCATTTTCAAAAATTACAAAGACTTTTTATCCTTGGCATCGTGGGAACCTTGTTGCAAAGTTTTATCAAAATCCGAGCAGTACCTTCTAGAAAATGTAACAACTGAAACTTATCCTGCGGTTTTCTGGTTTTCATGTTAATAGGACTTCATTGTCTGCCTGCTAAAAAAGTATACTCATCATTGTTTTAGCTGATTACCTATGATTGGGTAAGGTCAACTTGTTAATGCCTTAGGGCGGTAAAGTAACCTTAGCGTTCGCCATATTTGAAGATACGTTCATCCAGACAATTCTGAATCCAACCTTGCACAAATATACAGGGTGATGCATTTGAAATTTTTGAGACAAACTACAATTTGCGTTTTTGACCACCCTGTATGAGCAAAAATTAAAATTCGAAAAAGTAACAAATAAGATAAAAGCTGAGGAGTGTAAGTTTTTTTTGAAACAAAATTCGGCACTCCAAATTTCAAGCGAACTGCGGGGTTGCTGAAGTGGAGGGTTTTCCTAGACAAAACAGTTCATATCTCAGTAGCTAATTACCAAATTCCCATAGTATGTGATATCAATTTACTTCTTTTAAAATGGTTTAACCAAATATGCAATAAAATTTGAGGCATTCCGTTTGAAAAATCACAACTTTGATATGTAGGTCGAAATTAGGACACCCTGTATAATGGCCAATATTTTAGAAATGTACCCTCAAACGTCATGTATAGCATAAATAGATTT